GCTCCTAAGTTTTTCATTTCCCCCCCAACCACCCTTCCTTAATCTTACAAGAAAAAAAAAAAAGAAACGATTTGGAAAACACGATGGAAGTCTTTTTTTTAATATCCAACCAGACCCATTCTGTCTGGGTTTAACCGTTTCTTCCAGCTAAGTATTGAAACACTTGTGGAAACATCTTGACAGAGTTAAAACTATGTTAATTACCAGTATCAAACCAATGTTAAATGGGTTACTACCGATCATAACATTATCATAAACTCATAAACTGGTGCATTTCCTGGTGTGTTCCATACAAGTTTCTTTGGACAGAAATGTCTGCTAAATGCTTAAATGTGTCGACAAAAAGGTCTCCAACTATTTGTTTCCCTGATGTGTTCAAATGCTTTCAGAGAGGTGAAGACATTTTCTGAGGAATTACCTAAAAAGTAATATGAATAGCTGAATATTTGGGCAAAGCATAACTTGTTGAAGGAGTTAGTGAAAAGCTTAATTGTGCAGGTAAATATTGGAACTTTATGGGAGGCAAACAAACAAACAAACAAACAAACAAACAGAAGAGAAAGAAAGCACCACAAGTCTGAAAAGGTTTGAGAATGAAAAATAGTGTAATAGTTAGAGAGTCCTGCCTGCTTTGGAATTCGTGCTATCATTATTTAAAGATAAATGAAAATGATTCACTCATGGAGAGGATTCCTTTAGAGGATTAAAGGCAGAAATAAATGGTAAAACTACCGTAAAAATGGCATAAATATAACGGAGGCAACAAAAGTGTGCGTTGTTTTATTGCCTGTATCTTGACTAAACTCTTTATTGATGCTCTGATCAATCAGGGAACTAAAATAGTGTTCAAATATGAGCAAACTGAGTGTTTTTTTTTGCGGGTTTTATACCCCTGTCCTTTCACTCTTCCTCCTCAGTCCTCTGCATATGCAGAAAAGGGAGTCTGGTTTCTGTCCACGGCCAGTCCTCACGAGGAAAAAGAATCCAGCCGGGATGACAGGGAAAGGTGTGTCTGAACCAGAGGCAGAGATGCTGACCGGCGTCCGGTGAGTCACAGAGGAGTTATGCGGCAGAAAGTTCCTGGCTCTGCTCCCGAAAAATCACACTACCGGGGCGTGAGAGGAGGAGGAAAACAGGCAGCCAGCAGAAGAAGATGGCCATTACCACCCTGTGTGTGTGTGTGTGTGTGTGTGTGTGTGAGAGAGAGAGAGACTGTGATATGTGCTGAAGTAGTGCACCTGATGATGATGGTGATGATGATGAGGGTCAGGCTGGTGTCCTTGGCCTTGTAGGGCCGGTTATCGGGGTTATATATTTGATCCCGGCCTTCTCTGCAGCTCTAGCAGCTGAGTCTTCTCACCTGGTCTCTGTAAGTCCAAACCATGCTTTCTAATCTGGGTTTTAGCTGCTTTTATTTGTATTTTTTTTCCAAATTCTGATACACTTAACTATTTAAATTACATGTTTTTTTAGATTTTGATTACATATTTGTTTTTAAACTAGATAAACTAAATTTTAAACCTGTTTCTTTCCACTGATTCTAATATAAGTTAATTTATGTACTCTATGATCAGAAACAGAAATGTATATACTGTATATCTACAAAAATGTTTAAAAATATTTTTCTGCTTCCTGCAGGTCGACCACTGAATTACTTTTAAACTTAAGTTCACCTGTTACCTGAACTGAACCCACTGGTAAATCAATTTTCCATTTTTTAAGCCATTTTAACTCTCATTCAGTTTTGAAAACTATTAACATTAGTAACACAGTTTGAGAGATCTATGGAGTCTGATATATGGGTATCATGCACAAAAGTTTATGTGAATTGTTTAATACTGTGGGCTACATTGGGCTGAAAATACAGAGGAAGAGATGCAACATTTGATGAAATACCAATGACATAATCTGTTTGCATTAGTGCAGTGATGGGGGATGCAGAGATGTCGGTGTTCGGTGCCGCAGCCCCGTTCCTGAGGAAGTCAGAGAAGGAACGAATGGAGGCTTCCACCCGTACTTTCGATATCAAGAAGGAATGTTTCGTCCCAGATTCAGTGGAGGAGTTTGTGAAGGCAACCGTCACCAGCCGAGACGGAGATAAGGTCACTGTAGAAACACAGAACGGAAAGGTGGGTGTTCATTTATGTTTCCTCCCTTTTCTCTATGAATTTTCATCATATTTAGATCTGTCTAATAACACCACACAGTGCTCTTAACAGTTTTTTTTTGTTAATATAATAAGATAATTACAGTTAGAAAGCGTTAGTCTGTAAGAGTCTGTCTGAGAGTGTAAATTTAAGTATTCCTCCCTTTTGTCTATGAATTCTCATCCTATTTAGATCTGACTACTAACACCACATAGTGCTCTTAACAGTTCTTTTTTGTTAAAATTATAAGATAATTTCAGTTACAAATAGTTAGTCTGTAAATGTCTGTCTGAGAGTGTAAATCTAAGTATTTGTTGAAGAGCTATAGTGAAAAATGTAAAGTCAAACCAGTGTGTGAGTGGAATACAAGTCAGTTACCTCAATGAGATGCTGATTATTGATGTAGAAATCAAGAATAATAAATCTGATCATCTTCTTAGACTTTGACTGTGAAAGACACGGATGTTCTGCAACAGAACCCGCCAAAGTTTGACAAAATTGAAGACATGGCCATGCTGACCTTCCTCCATGAGCCAGCTGTGCTGTTCAACCTCAAAGAGCGTTACGCAGCATGGATGATCTACGTGAGCACACCATTAGTTTAGCTTAAAAGTTGATTACGATGAAACATACTGACCAATACAATAACTCTGATGTTCTGCCAGACCTACTCTGGGCTGTTCTGTGTGACTGTCAACCCCTACAAGTGGCTGCCAGTCTACAACCAGGAGGTGGTTGTTGCCTATAGAGGAAAGAAGAGGAGTGAAGCTCCTCCTCACATCTTCTCCATCTCTGACAATGCTTATCAGTACATGCTGGCAGGTACAGATTTAGCTTTGACCTTCATTGTGTTTAATAACGATCTTTGGTATTATCTGAAAATGTTTAAACACCCTATTTAATTCTTCTTTCAAATCCTGACAGACAGGGAAAACCAGTCAATCCTCATCACGTAAGATCAGCATAGTTTAAAACATTCTTTTTCCATTTCAAAATGAGAAGTTTTGGTCTAAGCCTTTGGGTTTCTCTGCCCCTCAGCGGAGAATCTGGTGCTGGAAAGACTGTAAACACCAAGCGTGTCATCCAGTACTTTGCCAGCATTGCTGCTGGAGGCGTGAAGAAAGACGCGAATGCCAAAGACAAGGTACGCAATGAGCTCCCACAAACAGAGAAGATAATTCAATGAGTTGAAATGTACTCCAGGAAAAAACGTGGTTCAAAATTAGTCGGTTAGAAAGTTCTTCAAACTTTGACCCTAAATGAAATGTCTATGGAAACACTTATTTTTCCAGATTACAGTTAACACAAGGTGCCTCTTTGACAGGGAACCCTGGAGGATCAAATCATTCAGGCTAATCCTGCTCTGGAGGCCTTTGGTAATGCTAAGACCATCAGGAATGACAACTCCTCCAGATTTGTGAGTTTCCACAACATCTTTGACAAAAGATGTTATGCTCCGAAAAAAAAGATAATGAAAAGATACAACCATGAAGGTGTCTTTATCCTTCTAGGGGAAATTCATCCGCATTCATTTCGACACCAGGGGAAAATTAGCCTCTGCTGATATCGAAACATGTAAGATCTACCATCATCTGGGAACTTGTGTTATTTCATGTTGTAATCTGGTGGCCAAGTAGAAGTCATCAAAGGGAAATGTCGCCTGCCTTGTCTTTGTCAGACCTTCTGGAGAAATCTCGTGTGATCTTCCAGCTCAAGGCTGAGAGAGATTATCACATTTTTTACCAGATTCTGTCCAATAAGAAGCCGGAGCTTCTGGGTAAGTACAGGGCACTGGCGCTTTTATGAAAAACAGAAACAAATAGCAGGCTATTGTTACGTGTATCACCGTGTCAGTTTGTCTTAATTTGACATGTTCTTTTTTCTGTATCTTCCAGAGATGTTGCTGATAACAAACAATCCCTATGACTA